TTTGAAAAATTAATAACTTTTTTAAATTTTAAATTTAATTTTTTTCCTTACACAAAACTAAAATGCAGTATTTGGAGTTTTTTACAATTTAAGTGTGAAAGATTACATCACGCAAATGACCGTCATTTTCAGCCTCGCAAAGTGCAGCTCTTGCAAGAGGTTTTCCATGACCCCAGTCAGAATATCTGGCCTCAAAGCACTTACTTCTGCTCGAATATTATCCTTTAGTTGCTGCAGGGTTGTGGGCTTATTAACATACACCTTTCCTTTCAGATATCCCCAAAGGAAATAATCAGGCGCTGTAAGTCCGGCAAGCGGGCGGGCCAATTGAATCCTGAATTTCTCGAAATTAAACGTTCGCCAAAAATCTGCCTTATAAGGTGCATAGTGGCTCGAGCAGTGGCTCCATCTTGTTGGAATCTCATCGCTTGATTGTCAGCAAGAGCTGGTCTTAAGAAATTTTGAATCATATCCCGATATCGCTCGCCATCTACAGATACAATATTTCCATCGTGGTCTTCGAAGAAGAATGGTCCAATAATTCTTTGAGACGTAACTGCGCACCATACTGTACATTTAAGCGGATGTAATTGCCTTTGATGAACCACCCTTGGGTTCTCGGTACCCCATATTCTGCAGTTCTGCTTATTTACAAAGCCATACAAATAAAAATGGGCTTCATCGCTCATGATGAGAATAAATAAATTCATTATCTTCTATCTAAGCGAACTGCATAAGCTAGTCGTTCTTGGAAATCTGCTGGTTTTGCTTCTTGCACTAGCTGCACTTTATATGGAAACAGATGTAAATTTCTTCTTAATATTCTGCGTAAAGACCTTCGAGACATCTGCAGCTCAGCAGAACGTCTTCGGGTTGAGGTTTCCGGACTTTCCTGAACGCGTTGAATGTTCTCTTCATTTCTTGCGGAACGTGGCCTTCCTCTTCGTGAGAGATCCATAACTGTGCCACTAAGCGTCGAATCATTGATTCAGAGGGCGAATTCCGCAAAGTGAAATGACGACGATATGCTCGTTGAGTTTGAATTATTGAATGATGATATTCAAAATAAAATTCTATAAGTTTGGTTCGTTGACTAAGGTTGTAACGCTCCATAATTAATCTATCGGATATATTTTTCACAGTCCTGAAAAAAAAAAAGAAAACAAAATAAATTTGAATTATTGAATGATGATATTCAAAATAAAATTTTATAAGTTTGGTTTGTTGACTAAGGTTGTAACGCTCCATAATTAATCTATCGGATATATTTTTCACAGTCCTGGAAAAAAAGAAAACAAAATAAATTTGAATTATTGAATGATGATATTCAAAATAAAATTTTATAAGTTTGGTTTGTTGACTAAGGTTGTAACGCTCCATAATTAATCTATCGGATATATTTTTCACAGTCCTGAAAAAAAAAAGAAAACAAAATAAATTTGAATTATTGAATGATGATATTCAAAATAAAATTTTATAAGTTTGGTTTGTTGACTAAGGTTGTAACGCTCCATAATTAATCTATCGGATTTATTTTTCACAGTCCTGGAAAAAAAAGAAAACAAAATAAATTTGAATTATTGAATGATGATATTCAAAATAAAATTTTATAAGTTTGGTTTGTTGACTAAGGTTGTAACGCTCCATAATTAATCTATCGGATATATTTTTCACAGTCCTGAAAAAAAAAGAAAACAAAATAAATTTAAAAAAGTTATTGACTTTTCAAATCCCTTCGCGACTTTTGCTCCACCCTGTGTTTATGGACCTTTTTATCTAGTCACTTTTATGGAAAACCATGCAGCACCTCGATCAAATCACCATATGTAAAGATTTAGTCCCAAAATTAGTTTTGATTGATTAAGGTCATTTTTCCAAAATGATTGTGAAAATCTGATTGTAGGTTTATCTGGCTCTACTTCATGGTTCTCAAACACGATTAACCCCATTGGGGACTAAGAGCGAACCTTGTTAGAGACGCTTCTGAATAATAGTATCAGAAAACGTGACAGAAAAGTAATTATAAATTCAAAGCACGGTGTGCGTGAATATAACAAACAGGACACATTATTATATTATATATAATATATATTTTAGTGCTTTTGGTAGAATCCATATTGAGGTATCTTGGATTTTTCAGAATACGTGGTAAATAATCGGATCTCACCACAGAAAGTTTATAACCACAAAGACAATAGATAGAAGGTTAAACTTCCTTTCGCCTTCACGGGGCGTAGAATATGTCGTAAATTTATTATAAGTATGCTAGTTGGTTACAAACAAATTAGTCTCTATAGTGAATGCGTACTTTGGTTACAATATCTGTATCTCCCTTTCCCGTGGATACGCATCCTATCTTGGCGTGCGGATGTATGTTTGTTTAAACTTGCATGCATACGTTTTCTTAATTTCCTCTTTGTTACGTATGAGTATTCTTCATATACGAACGACTAGTAACCACTGAATGATCGTTTTGAGCAGTGCGCAGTTTTCCTTACATACAATATACAATTATAGATTCGACTAAGATGTTGTTAAAATGGTAGCAGTGGAGGTACATACCAACTTGTTTGTTTTAAACGAGACACTACTACAATGTTTTAATTTGGGAGTCTGCAACATCCTACACCTAAGTATAATCGTTTCTTAGAGTTGTATCGTCATCCGTTCCTACAACAATTGTAGGACGTCTTTATGGCCTCCTTGATTTTCATAGTTTTCTACTCTTCTGTGTCAGCACTATATTTTTTTGAGGTTATGTTACAAATCTATTTGCATCGAATTGTTCATGCTTTTGATTTATATCATCTGTTATGTAGACTGAAATTTTCTACAATTCAAGAAGAAAACATAGCCTGCCAATATGAGAGCGCTGACACGGAACAGTAGAAATCTAGAAATATCCCTTTCTGAAAAAGACAAAACACTATGAAAATCAAGGAGGCCATAAAGGCGTCCTATAATTGTAAGGACGACTAACTATACGGCCCTTAGGCATTCCAGGTTCAGGGACTTTAAGCATATATTAGCATATAGTTGGCTACAGCGTCATCTATGAGGCACTGACGTTTTAAAGGTAGATTTCGAATTATTATGGAGAGAAGAAACATGACGAATTCTCAGAGATGATGCCAGGATATCTGATTTCATTTCGGATGATTCTTTAGGCGCTGAAAAGGTTGACTATCTTCAAGAAATGAATATAAAATTCTGAAATGCCCGAAAAGTCATTTTTCTAAGTAGAAAACATTCTTTGGAAATAAGCATACCCAACTAACAATTACCACTCCTATTAGAGTTACAAGAATGATGATACAGTATTCCTTAAACAGCATTGTATACTGTAAGAACATTAGTAAAACCCTCCTAGAACAGCTATACAAGTGGAATGCGCACACCTAATAGGACACTTCAGTTATTTAAGAGGTTCTATAATGGCTGCAGGTAACAGTTATAAAACAAAAGTGTAAGCCTCTTGCAGCCGCTATAGGACATTTGCGTCAGTGCAAGATTCAGTTTTTGTCAACTATACAACTATTCTCTTACGTGATTGTACTTTATTGCAACCAAACTATTTCCTATGTATTGTATAGACGAAGTGAAGAATATATAACTAACACATTACAATCATCTTGTGTACTTACATATCGGCCATTATGAATTTCGTACACAGGTATATGATAAACTTCTACACTTTGATATAGGGCTATTGAATTACTTGCACAGCAAATTTTATTGTGATTATCGTGCAAATTAGTTACCCAATTTCTACGGGCATCGTATTTGATTCATATTTTGACAATGATCAAAAGTATGTCTAGATTTTTAAGATGGAAAACTGAACTTATCTGCGTTAAATCTTCCACAAATCCTATATTTAGACACAATTGCACTAGTGTTTATCACTTTATATCTGTAATTTCGAACTGAAACATAATTGTTTAATATTAAATAGAGGAATAAGTGTTTGCCCAATATGGCGGGTGGTTGTGTACAATCATGGCATCGTCCATGTTGTCTTTAGGTTATTAGAATATTTTGGTGTTGCCTGCAGGTGTTATACAACAATTTGACAAATGTCTGAAATGAAATACCGACAGAGCCGAATGATTTACCCAGAATTTGTACCAGATCTATATCGTCTGTTTGAACAGTTGATAAAACCTTTTCAACCGATATGCATGCGTCGTTTGTCTTAAAACATTGGTTATGGCATTTAAACAAAAATATCACAGCAGAAAATTAGGTTATGGTGAAGTTGTTTACCAACATATTTAGCATAATTATGTAACAGTTGTATAAGTGCTTCCGTTGGGAGCAATTTGTTGGCTAATGTAGTAAATTGCACAGCAAAGCAACAAGGCTCGGGTTTGTTTTATAAACGTTAGCATGGGTGCCACAACACCACCATTTTGACTAACTTGCAAATATGCCGTATTAAATAGTTGTATAAACGTTTATGCAACAGTTAAAAATTTGCCCTATAAGGTGTTGTATAACTATGCTATAAGAATATTTTAAGCACCTCATTTTAGAGCAAATATGTTGCAGAAAGCAAATTTGCATACCACACAACATTAAGCCAGCATTTTGGTGCTCAGGCAACAACAATAGAGAGCTTTTATGGCTGAACGGTTCTTTTACCAAAAGTTTATAGCACTACTTTGCTAATTGGTAGCTTTGTATAAGGTTATTTACTTCGCACACCAATTGTTTCAGAGATGTTTAGTTCAAAACGTTTTACACAAATTATACGAGTTGGTCTGAGTTTGTTGTGACGCAGCCTGGAGCGAACTAGATATGTATATACAACCCGGAATATAAAAATGGCATAATTTTTGAACCCCATAAAACCTTTCTTTGGCAAGGCTTAAAGAGCTATAAGTTACGACACTACAAAGCGAACGTTTGATATACATAATTTTCCTTGTTCACGTTTGCTCAGTAGGTACTCTATATGTTGACAGAATATGTAGATTATCACGTATCGTTTGTTCCAGTATGCACTGATGCTGTTCCTCATACTGGTTCTCGAATTATCAGTGAGCATTGTGGCTTACTCCATGAGAGGCGACTTGGAAGTTACTCTTAGGAAAACCATGTTGGAGACCATGGAATATTATCCAACCCACACCTATCACACATGGAGAGTTGTTCAGTACAATGTAAGCGCCTTTCCGTTCCCTGAATTTAGATTTTAGATATAGTTTATTTTTTGGAAAAGTGGAATACATTTAATATAAATCGTTACAACCTTGAAGGAGGAATCATGTAGTTAGTCGAAATTATGATATTCGAGTAGATACCTCTTGAGGTAACCACTTATTCATGATTAGCTTTCATTCATTAGAATTTTAATTCAAAAATGTGGTAACAGTAGCTATTAATCCTCCCAAAATTATATATCTGGGTCAAATATTCCTGTATATTTTTCTATCTAAGTTTCCAAGAGTTAGGGCAAAAATTCAGGAGCAGTGTTTGCAGTCTTCAATGGCCACTAGGCAAACAGAAAAATCACTGCTTTAATTCTTGCTCCATGTTTTCAAAAGACCCCAACGAACTTTCTTGCTTTATTTTTGATTGTAATTTATGGCTCAGAACTATCACCACTGTTTTTGAAACCACTCCACGTTGTTTAAACAGATAAATACAGTATTTTTATCATTAGTTGGAGTGCTGTGGCGTAGATGGACCTTCTGACTGGTACCCATACGGCCAACTTTTCAGTCTGGACTACAAAGTTCAAGACAACAAGACCTATTACGTTCCAAGCTCTTGCTGCACCAACTTGTATTGCTCTGATGGTTTTCTATACATAGATGGCTGCTTGCCTGTTATTCGCTTCGTCGTATCAGAATGTGCTGTACTACTTGGAGTTGGAGCGATGTGCATCTCCTTCATACAGGTAAGTTTTTATATTTATACCTATCGGCATGACAGATAAACGACCAGTACCGGTTGCTTACCCTCGCATCTACTGAATTTGATTCAAACATAGTACATTCTCATCTTGAAGATGGGCATTCCTGAGAATCACCATTGATATAGGAAAAACAAAAGTACCTCGTAGCTACAATCAAAACCGTTATTTTATATACACTGAGAACCAAATTTGTCTGACGGCTTGACTTCAATGTTTACGAGAGAGAAGTGTGTAAATACTCATATGTTAGAAAGGGATAGGAGCCGGCTGTTTAGCGAAACTCATTATTGCGTTGCCTAGCTCTGCTGACGCGGCAATCTACCGCGTTGCCAATATGTTACATATTAGATAATATGTCTTTGTATTAAGATGCATTTTGAAAGTATGCTTTAGTTTATTTTTAACGCCAAAATAATGCTTTTATTTCGAGCGAACACATTTTTGAATTGTGTCGAGGATTAATTCCCGGTCGGCCCTACCGGCGCTCCATCCAAGGCAACGTTTCCAACTCCATGATCATAGTTGAGCGATTTTGGTCATTACCCATCTAGCGCTCGTAGGGCAGTGTAAAGTAGCTTCGAAATGGCTTCCACCTGATAACTTGTATTACGTAAGGATGTGTTGATTTTCGCATCAAAATTTAAATAAGTAGCTCTAATCAAAATGAAAACGAAATATTAAACTAAATGTTCGAACAAACCTCCTTCTTGGGCCTTACAGTAGCCGAACTTATTGTAGAAGCCTTTGCGAACATTTTCTGGTGTAACATATTGGCAAAGCGGCAGATTACATGACTTTCTGCGACACCGTTGCTAGGCAATGTAGTGATGACCTCCACTCTTCAGCTGGCTTCTATTTCTTTCTAACATGTGTTAATACACACAAATTTCGTTTTCCTTGTGAATTATATTTCACATGATACCTTTGGTTTATATATAAACAATAAAAAAAATACATTTCTTCTGTAAACATTCAAAACATGTACTTGTTAGGAAAGGGGGTCTAATACGAGGAGGACGATAGGGAACGTCGGATAAAACCTTTTTACACAGTATTACTATTATCATAAGACATAGTGCACAGGATTTTGGAGGCTGATTTTGACATCGCTGACTTGGCTGGCTGACTAGATGATCTAACGTACATGATCTTTCCATTGGCCAAGTATACCCGCTTGAGTTGACGAGAGCATATCGGTATACGAAGGAGTTGCGCTTGAGAGTATTTGGGGCACTTAAGTCTCTTTCGAAATTTCACACCATTTCTCCTCAATTTCAACTATATGGAACTCTTAGAAGATCTGTATTGACGAGTCTCCTTGTTGACATTCCAACCTGATTTTTGGCTCTTCTCGCCAATTTCTCTGACCTCTGTGAAGTAAATGCACCTGGTCTGCCACTTTTTGGGAGACTCAGACATGGCATTCCCTGCTCGCACTCCGCTATTGTTCGATAAATGATTCTACGTGAAATGCTTTCATTCTGTAATATTCGACAGTTTTCAGCTTTGGGTATCCGCCCAATCACCTTGTAGATACTTTTTCTTATTTATACGACATCTTAAAGCTAAAACTTCGACATAAATAAATGTCAACTGACAGCAAGATAAGCAACCAAACGTTTGTTTCCAAAGGCAACTTGAAATTATTTTATGTGTGTTGAAATTTAAGCCAATGAATTTCGTGCCAAAACTTTTAGGAAATACGTTACTTTGGTCAAAATCAGCTTCCAGAAATTTCTTGTGCGCCTGGTCCAAGCATGTTGCCACACTGTAGCTTTGTAGCATCTCCCAAATTAAGTCAGCTGGGATGCTGTAGGCGAACCGTACAGCTCTTCTTAAGGCACCTAAATGCATGCTTCAATTATTTTCAGCTAGTTACCACTGCAAAACGGAAACAGTTTGAATGATACAATTGGGTAACGAATAACTGACAATCATTCTAGTGCTATGTTCCCGCGCCCCAAAAGAAAAAAATATCCGAGATAAAGTGAGATACCGTACCGTCATCTTCGAGAATTTGTCACAGCTGTTTCTCTGTTTAAAAAATATACTTTGACAAATTCTCATAGACGACGATGCGGCATCTCATTTTATTTAAGACATCCTTTTGGGCGAGGGAATATCTTCAGATAGAATACGTTAGTTACTAGAATCACCCAAATTCTTCTTCTGCAGTGGTAGCTACAAGGTAGCTTTAGTTTTCCCATATCTTTTATTGTGGTCTGGAGAGCTTACTCCAACGTCCACCAGCTACGTACTTCACAATTAGAAGGGCAAACATGTGTCACCTTATTGAGAACGTATGCTCTTAAGTCGAACAAGACTATCAAATGAGGATGAGCAAAGGCACAGGTTTTTGATCGTAGCAGTAAATCGTATATTATTTAGGAGGCCCTTACATGTGGAATAAGAACCATCACGATTTTTCTAAAAGGAACTCATCTCGAAGACTAGCGATCTCTAGAAATTTAAGTATATACTTTTATGGCATTTATTCGATCTAGAATAGTATCTAATTCGCCGTCGTCGCAAATGCATTCTACACTAAAACCCTACAATCCTAAATTTTCGTAAGTATGCCGCTGAACTTTCAAGACCTGAAAATTGCCATCTTATCAAGAGATACAATAGACACTTTTTATATTTCTTGATCTTTTGGCATATTGTATTTGTGTTTCGGAAATAGCTAAATTCTTGAAACGATAACATCTCTTCAGTTTCCCATTGAAAAGGTGAACATTTTTATTTTTCCCATACTTTTAGAGTCGTGCAGAAGGCTTAGAAAGAACAAATACTATTTTTCAAATGTTTCTATCAAATCTTGAAATACTTCGACAATTTTAAAAACACCAAAGTACCGATTCGTAAATAGCCTCTTGAATGACTGATTATACTATCCCATACGTTGGGTCCTTCTTTGGAGCACTAGCAATCGAGAAACTTCCATTGAAAACGGCCTAGTACTTTTCAAGATACTTGACAAAAATAGATTTCTTGAAACATTTTCAATGCACTGTTTTTAATCTACCTGTATATAAAATTTTTTCTTATTATCAAACAAAAAGGCTTCTCCCAAAACAATTTCAATGGCGAAAACAAGTGGTCGGAAAATGTAACAAATATCATTGCGCAATACAAATTACCACTGCCTGCGTGTACGCAGGTGATCACCATTTCGAAGCAGGACGGCACTCCGCAATGAGCGCTAGATAGGTACTGATCAAAATCGCTCATCTAGGATCATGGAGGTGGAAACCTTGCCTTGGAATGTACGAAATGCGGTGTTGCTAAGCAAACCAATGAAGCAATGTTGCAGAATTTGTGGCGATCCTGACCTTTCATTTCGACCTAAACGGGAGCGCCGTTCGTACAGATGCGGCATCGATCCTAAACAGATTCGACACAATTCACAATTCAAAAATGCGTACGCTCAAAATGAAACCATTAGTTGGGCGTAGAGAATAAACATGCATCTTAATTAAAGGAACTGGTGTTACATATTGGCATCGCGGCAGATTACCACGTCGCCGTTGCTACGTTGCTAGGCTACGCGGTGATGAGCTCCGCTATCCAGCTGGGCTTTATCTTTTTCTAACATATGTGTCTATACACGCTTCTATCTTGTACATATTGAACTCCAGCCGTAAGAAAAATTTGGTTCTCAGTGTATCACGGAACGGACAACGAATTTGTACTCCCCTTGATAAATCTTTTATTATTTTATACACCTATATCCAACGTTATATCAGTCATTGTGCTATTGGTATGGGTACCAAAATGACCATGCAGCACTAGAGCACAACAGTAGTTTGGCAGAAAGCTGTTAATACTGGTTATTATTTTCCAGCTTCTCGGCGTAATATTCGCATACCTGCTAGCCAAATCTGTCAGGAAATTAAAGACTCAGAGAGAAGTAGCCAAGACACAAAGGAAAACACAACTCTACGAAGAACTAGCAAAATCAGCAGCTCAAAATGAGAAAATGGGGCCTGTGCTGTTCACTCCAACCAGCTCCGAAGCTTAACTTCTTTATAGAAAAGTTTCAATAGGTTTATAATTATTATTATCCCTTTGTTATAGCCTGCTATAACAAAGAAACAGTTACTTTTTGAAATTTCTTAAATCTTTTAAGTATTCCTAGATAAGATAAAGTAAGGTTAAATTTAAGATACATTTCTTGTTGAATTTTCCTTTCTGTTTTTACAAAAATCAAAAGAAACACATATAGTCCAGGCCTCTAAAGAACGCCCCACTTTACATGACTTACATTTTTACAGATACGACTTTCGCGTTAAATATTACAAAATATGGAGGTATATAAGATATATACAAGGTCTGTCCTTCACCATCCTACTAGCTAGCTGAGTTGTTTAAATTTAACAACTTCTATACTCTGATCTGGCTATTACTGATTAAAACTATTTAGCACAAAAGTAACTTAATCACTGATTTCGAAGTAATAGGTATTTTATGTCAAATCAGTTTTTTTCTTTGTGAATTGTTTTTCAAGTACGTACTTAATACTTACTAATAAAGCAGATGCAATGAATGTGATAAAACAATATGTGATTCGAGGCAGTGATAGGGTAAAGTTTATTCTATTAAAATAGTTTTGGCATTACGCAACTTCTTTTACACAAATAAACTTATATAAATACGATAGTTAGGTCTAGGTTGACTCAACATATGTAAAATTTTATTCTAACTTAGCTGGCATGTGAGTCATCACTGTTTTACAATTAGTTGTTTCAAATACTTTATGGAATAAAAATTACATTCGAGTTTTTCTTATCTCATCCACCTTTACACCAGAATTTTACGGCAAATTTCACGTCATCAAGGCAAGCATGGATTTTAGCTGGATACATTGTCGCTTACTAAATCAATGATATTGCATATTGTCTGTGGAATCGTTGGAAATACGAAAATATGCCTGTACGAGGTTTGATCAAAAAGTATCGCGAATTTCATGTTTTTTCAACAATTATATATTTATTCATGAATATCTATTTTTCACCTTCAAAGTAATACACATCAGACATTATACACTTGTGTAACGTTTTTTTCCAATCCTCGAAGCATTTTGAAAAATCATTTTTTGTGATCTCCTCCTTCGATGCCGTCTTTATCTCCTCAATCGTGGCGTAGCGTCGTCCTTTCATGGTCCTCTTCAGTTCCGGGTACAATAAACAGTCACAGGGGACTAGGTCTGGGAAATACGGTGGCTGAGGCATTATTGGAGTGTTGTTTTTGGCCAAAAATGCACGCACAAGTAACGATGCATGAGCAGGTGCGTTATTATGGTGGAAAATCCAATTTTTGTTCTTCCACAAATCTGGGCGTTTCTGGCGGATTGCTTCTCGCAAATTGCGCATTACTTGAAGGTAATATTCCTTATTGACCGTTCTACCCTGCGGAAAGAACTCATCAATGTTTTCGTCTGTTGTAGACGTGCTCGGGTGTCCGGACCGCTTTTCGTCGCTTCTCGGCCCTCTGAGAACATTTTGTACCACCGATAAACGTTGCTTTTGTCCAATGTAGCTTCGCAGTATGCAACAGTCATCATTTGGAATATGTCCGTGCACTTCAAGTTGTTTTTTAGACAAAATTTAATGCAAATTCTTTGATCCATTTTTTGGAATAGAAAAAATCAGAGACAAGTTAAAACACGCCCCACTAACAATTATCACTCCTATTAGAGTTGCAAAAATGACTATACAGAATTCCTTACACAGCATTGTATACTGTAAGAACATTGGCAAAACCCTCTTAGAACAGCTATACAAGCAGAATGGGCACACCTAATAGGACACTTCAGTCATTTAAGAGTTTGTATAAGGGCTGCAGGTAACAGTTATACAACAAAAGTTTAAGCCTCTTACAGCCGCTATAGGACATTTGCGTCAGTGCAAGATTCAGTTTTTGTCAAGTGAAGAATATATAACTAACACAATACAGTCATCTTGTTTACTTACATATCGGCCATTGTGAATTTCATACACAGGTATATGATAAACTTCTACACGGTGATATGGGGCTATTGAATTACTTGCGCAGCAAATTTTATTGTGATAATCGTGCAAAATGGTTACGCAATTTCTACGGGCTTCGTATTTGATTCATATTTTGATAATGATCAAAAGTATGTCTAGATTTTTAAGATGGAAAACTGAACTTATCTGCGTTAAATCTTCCACAAGTCCTATATTTAGACACAATTACACTAATGTTTATCACTTTATATCTGTAATTTCGAACTGAAACATAATTATTTAATATCAAATATGGCGGGTGATTGTGTATAATCATAGCATCGTCCATGTTGTCTTTAGTTTATTAGAATATTTTGGTGTTGTCTGCAGGTGTTATACAACAACTTGACAAATGTCAGAAATGAAATACAGACAGAGTCGAATGATTTACCTAGAATTTGTACAGATCTCTATCTTCTGTTTGAACAGTTGATAAAACCTTTTTAACCAATATGCATGCGTTGTTTGTCTTAAAACATTGGTTATGGCATTTTAACAAAAATATGACAGCAGAAAGTTAGGTTATGGTGAAGTTGTATACCAACATATTTAGCATATCTACAGCCTTTAACAGTTACTAAACAACAGTTGTATAAGTGCTTCCGTTGGGAGCAATTTGTTGGCTAAAGTAGTAAATTTGCACAGCAAAACAACAAGGCTCGGGTTTGTTTTATAAACGTTACCATGGATGCCACAACAAAACCATTTTGACTAACCTGCAAATATGCCGTACAAAATAGTTGTATAAACGTTTATGCAACAATTCAAAATTTGCCCTATAAGGTGTTGTATAACTATGCTATAAGAATATTTTAAACACCTCATTTTAGAGCAAATATATTGCAGAAAGCAAATTTGCGTTCCACGCAACATTAAGCCAGCATTTTGGTGTTCAGGCAACAACAATATAGAGCTTTTATGACTAAACGGTTCTTTTACCAAAAGCTTATAGCACTACCTTGCTAGTTGGGCGTCCACGCACAATTGCTGCCAAAAACTGACTGAACATTCGACGTGGCCGATGTTGTCAACATTAGTGAGGGTGATGAGTACCAACGTAACGCCACAAAAAGATCGAAAATCGAACATACGAAGCCCTGGAAAATTCAAAACTTGCGATACTTTTTGAATAAACCTCGTATAGGACCTTGGAGTAGGCTGACACCTCCGAACCGAAATTGGAGGTTGCTTCCGACTTTTCACATCTATTTCTTCGTGGCATGCAACAAACCAAATGGTCTCTTCTACCCATACAATAATGGCAATGCGGGTATACCACATCAATGGGTCTTGGCCCCAACATTGTCTGTCCTTTTTTTCACACTAGATCTAACTCCCAGCTACATGGATGGCAATTCTTTGCAAGCTATGCTGGTTACAATTTAAGGTGTAGCGAAGCAAATTCATCACTGGGGAAAGGACATCCATCCCTGAGGACACACTATTTTTGCGCAGTTCAGTGCTTCTATAGTCCAATACACTCTAGCTAAAAGAGGCCCACACTATACGAAGTACAATACATTCTCTCCAATTGTAGTGGGAAGTAAAAGATTGCTCTGCTCACATCTTTCGACCACCTGTCATCCATTACGCTGCAACGTAGTACGAAAAAAGCTCAATAATGTTTCAGAAATATGTGACAGAGACAAAAAGGAGGACAAAAGAAGGCCGAAAAAAAAACTATCCAAAATGGCCATCGTAAATAAAGCTAGACAATTTACATGATAAACGACGGACGCATTTTTATTATTTGCAATTTCCCATTCGCGATAACAGTCGACATATATCTTTTCGGCGTATTCGTTTTTTCTCGTCTATCTTGGAAGCGTTAATTTGGGACCAGACCGTGACTACATTTATATACATTACACGTTTAAAATGCACGACGCGGCACAGATAGCTACTTTCATTAATGTATTCTGAGTTCTGTGCTTGTAGGTGGATCATTTCCGAGAGTCAGGTTGCGTTTTTTAAACCTGTTATTTACCTACTGCTCATTTAAATCAGTGTGCAGTTTCTAGGACATGGAAATAAAGGTTATCCAGGGGTGTTGATGTAGTATCTGACCAAACTTGGATGATTCTGTGGAAAAAATCTTATCAACACATGCTCTTGCAAACATAATTTGGGTTTTCGTCGTACTTGATGTTGATGAAAATCAGCTTGGAAAAACCACTGGTAGGTATAGCGATGCCTGCGCACAATGTTTTGAGTTTTTCAAAAGGCAACCTTATTGCTTTCCGCTTCGGCTGTCTCCACGATCAGACCTAAGACCTATACCGCATTGATGAGTTACTAATGAGCACGAATCAGCGATTCGTCGTAGCTACAGGAGACGGAGTATATGCATAGGAAAGCTATTGACAGTCTGCTCTGTGAATATCTGGTATCCGACCACTTGACACCTGGACCGTCATCATGATACTATAACTTGAGAAGATATGCTCACTTCGAGATCGAATATCGCATGTGGTTGTTCCGTGACAATTGTTCCGCTGATCGGTATGAAATATAGTCAGTGATATTAGAAGTGTTACCAGAGAAAAAGTAATTTCTTCAAATTAAATTCTTTACAATGAGGTAAGCTTTGCATCAGGAATGAAACGATAACATTCTCATTAAATTTTATTGACAAGTAATAAGAAATGAATTATCTAATAATGTGTTGGGCGATTTCGCAGCTGAATACACTCCTGTATACATTTAGGCATCGACAAAATGAGATGAGCGGTTTTTGATTGAGGCACCTCATTACAAGCAACCCGAACTTCGTGGATTAGCTGTGGCAGAGCTACACAGATCATATCCCACACATGTTCGATGAGATTTAATTCCGGTGAACGACGTGGCTGCGGCAAAACATTGACGCCTACTTCTTAGAGAAAGTCCATAGGGTGACGAGCAATATGGGGACGTGCGTTGTCTATGAAAAAGGACGTGTGGACGGCCCTCCAGATACGACAGTAAAGTGGTTTGTAGGACATAATCAAGATAACGCGCAGCAGTCATATTGCCTTGAACAACAAGAAGGGGTGATCGGCCATCATAAGTAATAGGCCCCCAAACCATTACTCCAACAGTCTTGTGTACATGTATTTCAACAGCAAATAGAATATCACTGCGTTCTCCATGGCGGCGTCTTACCCTTCTGCGGCCATCGTGCATACCCAGAAATAATCGCAGTTGGTCGGTGAAGATGACACTATGCCATTCTGCCTCCCAATGTTGCCTTCTTTGCTCCAGTACAAACGTTGACGACAGTGGTCAGCAGTCAGAGGAAGTCCTAACTGTGGATGGTAGGAAAAAAGTCCAAAGGCTCGAATGTGGCGATAGGGTGTACGCATAGCAACAGGTCTGCCTTCTTCTTCAAATCATTGGACAGCGATCTGACGCGTAATAGCAAAACGGTCTCCTAGGGTTAGTTGCCCGAAGCGCCCATCTTGACGCTCTGTGGTACACCTCGGTAGACCACATAGCCTTCTTCGTATTGCTCTACCTTCTTGGTGATAATTTGGACTTCTTCGATCTCGAGGCATTTTGTTATGCTTAACACTAGTGAATGAAAGGGCAATCACTAAACATATCTGTACTACTCAGCTCTCAGAAACTGCTTTCTTCACAAAAAGAGATAATATTTTGACAAAGGTAAACAAAAACAAAGATGAATCGTTGACATTGTTGCCACAGCATGCTTAAAATATAGTCATTATGTTGCCAAAAAGAACATGTTGAAGAAATTATTTCTTCTAATGTCATTGAGAATATTTGGAATATTTGCCTAATATTTTTTTGTGTCCTCGATTTCACATGATGATTCTAGTATTCATGATGTAGAATGTTATATTTATATTTTCATGTCTTACCAATACACTTTAATAATGTATACCATTATAGACAAAATACATTGCCGTTGTAATGTAATCACTTATGAAAAATTAACAAACAAGTAAAGGTTCTAAATGACTTAAGACTTGATAATTGAAAATGCTCTTC